ACAGCTACTGTATCTGCACCAATATCTATAAGCACTAAAACATCACCAGTAACTAGTGGAACCCAAACATCAACAGTTACAGTTAATTCACCACCTTCACCAGTAACTACTGGAATCCAAACGTCAACAGTTACAGTTAATACACCAACTTCACCAGTAGCTAGTGGAAACCAAACGTCAACAGGTACAGTTAATACACCAACTTTACCAGTAACTAGTGGAACCCAAACTTCAACAGTTACAGTTAATACGCCAACTTCACCAGTAACTAGTGGAATCCAAACGTCAACAGGTACAGTTAATACACCGACTTTACCAGTAACTAGTGGAACTCAAACGCCAACAGGTACAGTAACAACACCAACATTAACTGGAGCAACAAATGGAACCCGAACGTCAACAATTACAGTTAATAAACCATCTTTACCAGTAACTAGTGGAACCCAAACGTCAACATTTTTAGTTAATACACCACCTCCATCAGTAAATAGTGGAACCCAAATGTCAACAGTTACAGTTAATACACCAACTTTACCAGTAACTAATGGAACCCAAACGTCAACAGTTACAGTTAATACACCAACTTTCCAGTAACTAATGAAACCCAAACGTCAACAGTTACAGTTAATACACTAACTTTACCAGTAACTAGTGCGACCCAAACGTCAACTGTTACAGTTAATAAACCAACTTTACCTGTAACTAATGGAACCCAAACGTCAACTGTTACAGTTAATACACCCAATTCTCCAGTAACTACTGGAACCCAAACGTCAACAGGTACAGTTAATACACCGACTTTACCAGTAACTAGTGGAACTCAAACGCCAACAGGTACAGTAACAACACCACCATTAACTGGAGCAACAAATGGAACCCAAACGTCAATAATTACATTTAATAAACCAACTTTACCAGTAACTAGTGGAACCCAAACGTCAACAGTTTTAGTTAATACACCACCTCAATCAGTAAATAGTGGAACGCAAATGTCAACAGTTACAGTTAATACACCAACTTTACCAGTAACTAATGGAACCCAAACGTCAACTGTTACAGTTAATACACCACCTCCATCAGTAAATAGTGGAACCCAAAGGTCAACAGTTACAGTTAATAGACCAAATTTTCCAGTAACTAGTGGATCCCATACGTCAACAGTTACAGTTACGACAACAACTTCACCAGTAACTAGTGGAACCCAAAAATCAACAGTTAGAGTTAATACACCAACTTTACCAGTAACTAGTGGAACCCAAACGTCAACAGTTACAGTTGATACACCAAATTCACCAGTAACAAGTGGAAACCAAACTTCAACAGTTACAGTTAATACACCAACTTCACCAGTAACTAGTGGAATCCGAACGCCAATAGGTACAGTTAATACACCAACTTCATCAGTAACCAGTGGAAACCAAACGTCAACAGTTACAGTTAATACACCAACTTTACCAGTAACTAGTGCGACCCAAAAGTCAACTGTTACAGTTAATACACCAACTTTACCTGTAACTAATGGAACCCAAACGTCAACTGTTACAGTTAATACACCAAATTCTCCAGTAACTACTGGAACCCAAATGTCAACAGTTACAGTTAATACACCAACTTCACCAGTAACTAGTGGAACGCAAACGTCAACAGTTACAGTTAATACACCAACTTTACCAGTAACTAAAGTCAGGAACCCAATCGTCGACAGTTACCGTTAATACATCACCTTCACCAGTAGCTAGTGGAACCCAAACGTCAACAGTTACCGTTAAGACGCCAACTTCACCAGTAACTACTGGAATCCAAACGTCAACAGGTACAGTTAATACACCAACTTTACCAGTAACTAGTGGAACCCAAACTTCAACAGTTACAGTTAATATGCCAACTTCACCAGTAACTAGTGGAATCCAAACGTCAACAGTTACAGTTCATACACCCACTTTACCAGTAACTAATGGAACTCAAACGCCAACAGGTACAGTAACAACACCACCATTAACTGGAGCAACAAATGGAACTCAAA